GACCAGATTATATTTTAATCTGTAAAGAACCGGATTAATCAGACGGAGATTTAGAACGAACGTGATCCAGTTATTTACTTGTTTAGATTGTTTGTTATCGCCCTCCCCTTAACGGCCAAACATCTCCTAAACCTCAGGAAACTCTTCAGATTAACGTCTGCAGCTAGGTCACCTGATTCAAGATGGCCGCCACAGCTGATCAAAGTTAGCAAACACCAAAACGTCTCAGACTTTACAGACATGGAGCTAAAATCTTCTGAGTTAGTGTAAGAAAACACCCCCTAGTGGCTGGCTGCAGCATGTGTTTAAGCCCCGCCTCCTCCATGTAAATCCTCAACATGCCGACTTTTCTCTGTTGCTGCTGATCAGTTTCCTGATGAAGAGGAGTCTTTACAAGGGCTGTACATGAGCACGTACACACACACACACACACACACACACACACACACACACACACACTGACCTCACCCTGTTTCTCCCACCCTGTAATTAACTCAAGACCTGTTTAAAGTGGTCAACACACACACACACACACACACACACACACACACACACACACACACACACACACACACTTCACTGAACTCAGTCTTATTGACCATGCTGTTGTCATGACGACCACATCAGGGTCACTGTTGATGTTAGTTATCCTTGAGCAGCATCTTGATTCATTTTCCCGCAGGTTGCTATGACAACAGCAACTCCGATGGGTCAGGATGACAACAGCCAGGTCACGTGATCGAATACAGACAATGAGCCTGACCCCTGGCCCTCAGCTTCAGGTGTGTGCACGAGCCGCTCACCTGGACAGTCAGCGGCCTTCCCGGGTCCGCAGTCCGGACTCCCGCCGCGGGTGAATGAGGTCCAGGCGTTCGGGAGACCCAACAAGAGCAGCATGCAGCAGAACCCGGAGAACCGGCCCGGCAGAGCCATGGTGGAGGGATGGAGGGACACGGGGACAAAAGGATGAAGGTGGACAAAAGTAAAAAACTGGAGACGGACTCGGATTTCCCTCTGGAAGGTCCTGAATGAACGAACAGCTCAACATAAAAACCCTCCAGTCTCCTTTCTTTCCACGAGTTTCCGAAATCCCTTCACGGTTTTCAGGAAAAAAAACACGTAGTGGTGAAAACCGGGAGGAACCGACCGGGAAGGGCTCGGCGGTCTGAAGCGCAGTCCGGGACAACAAAGCGGCTCAGGGCCTGGGGCTTCCCACACCGACCCCCACACCTCCAGTCTGCTCACAGCCCGGACCCAGCCTCCATCCCCCAGCCCCGCAGCCAAGCACTCAAACCGGCGGGGAGACGCGACCGCGGGCCGCCGCGGAACAACCAAACCAGCTGGAGCTCCGGAGGGGCTCCAGGAGCAGCATTCAGGCCGAGCGGGAGCGACTTGCACCGGGTAAGGTGATCGGAAAGGGTCGGTGGGTCGGACCGGGACTTTTTCTTTTTTCTGTCCTCCTGTTGTTCCTCCACCGAATCACATCAACAAAGGCCCGGACCACGTGACCCGCAGGAGACCACTCCCACGCAGAGAGACGATCCCAAATCCCTGCAGACCTGCGTCCTCATCAGGTCCTCACACACGCGCGTGCACGGCCCCCGGGTTATTCATCATAACAAATAAAATACAATAGACCACAAAAATGCTTCATCAGATAAAACAAACCACAAAAATCATAAAATAATCAGTGAGAAATAAAAATTGTTCAATTCAGTTTATTTATAAAGCGCCAAGTCAGGACCAGAGTCGTCTGGAGGACCTGCACACAGTAAACAACACAGGTCAGGTCATTCAGCCCATCAGTAAACACAAACAGTTTCCTACATAAGGAACCCAGCAGGTCGCATCGAGTCACTGACTAGTGTCAGAGTCTTTACAGCAATCCTCATATTAAGCAAGCATAAAGTGACAGTGGAGAGGAAAACTCCCTTTTAACAGGAAGAAACCTCCAGAGAATCCTGGCTCAGTATAAGCAGCCACACACACACACACACACACACACACACACACACACACACACACACACACACACACACACACACACACACACACACACACACACACACACACACACACACACACACACACACACACACACACACTATTGAAAAATCTCATCTGAATCAGGTGTAACAAATAAGGACATTCCTCAACTTTAATCTTTAAGAGTTCTGAGTGTAAAGAAAGGACGACTGGTACACTAACAGTCTGGCTTTGTTGCACTTTTGTGTTTTAATAAATACAAATTTACCTGAGCAGTTACCAATGTAGTAATCTGAGTAGTAAACTGAGTAGTAATCTGAGTTGTAATCTAAAAAGTAATCTAAGCAGTAATTTGAGAAGTAGTAATTTGAGCCGTAATCTGTCACAATGTTTCTGTCTAAATAAGGTAATAAAACAAAACAAAAAAACAAAACAGGAAGCTTTAAAGGAGACGAGACGTCTGGATTATTTCTTTTATCTGACGGCACCACCTAGAGGCTGACAAGCGTATCACACCAAGACGTTGTTTCATTTTCAACTTTACGGCTGCCAACTTAGCGGCTTTGTCACCATTTCTAACGACTTTTCAGGCCCCCTTAAACACCCCCCCCCCCCCCCAGCGCCTGGCGACAAATCTGACCCCCTCAGCTACTTTGACTACAACTTTGTAGCAGACTTTACCTGCAGATTAGAGATGCATCTGAAGCGACAGGACCGTCCTTCCTTCCAGAGGATCAGAAAGAAAGTGATCTGCGCATGTGCGTGCAGCATGATCACGCTGTTGGCCAATCAATCACTAAAATGTTTTTTTCTTCTAGAAAAGAAAGTTTTTTATTAGCACCTCTCTACATAAAAACGCTTCACAGACACAATAAATGATTATTAGATATTATTATATCTAATAATGGAGAAAAACGTCAGAAAATAAAAATAAAATGACAAAAGGAAACAAAACTGTCAAAAACAGCATGAAGAGAAATGAGAGAGGAAGAAGAGGAGGTCTCACCAAAGTTTTATTAGTATTAGAGATGCACCGATACCACTTATTTCTAAACCGATACTTGGATCTGAGCACTCATCGATACCAATACCGATACTTACTGTGTGGACCGATACACATAAAAATGCAATGAATGGAATGCAGGTTTTATTGTCTTCTCTGCTTTCAACAGGGAGAGACTGAGGTAGATAAAAATAAAATGTGTTTATAGAAATTACCACAAAGCTAAAATATTAGGTGAACAGCAATGACCAGATACAGCGAAGCCACTTTCAGACAACTGCATGGTATCGGCTGACTTTTACCGTTATCGATGCAGGTATCGGTATCGGTAATATGATCATTTTTGTCATTTTTACAAACTAACAAGTAAAGAACTTAAATAGAAAAAAGAATAAATTATTATTTTAATCCAAATTAAAAATGATCAAATTAACAATTAAATAAAAATTTGAAGGAAGAAGTTTGTTTTATTTAGATCTAAAGTTTCCTGGTGAGAAAATTATTTTTATAAATGCTGCAGAGTCCATCCATCCATCCATCCATCCATCCATCCATCCATCCATCCATGCATCCATCCATGCATCCATCCATGCATCCATCCATCCATCTATGCATCCATCCATGCATCCATCCATGCATCCATCCATCCATGCATCCATCCATGCATCCATCCATCCATCCATGCATCCATGCATCCATCCATCCATCCATCCATCCATCCATCCATGCATCCATCCATGCATCCATCCATCCATCCATCCATGCATCCATCCATCCATCCATCCATCCATCCATCCATCATCCATCCATCCATCCATCCATCTTTCCATCCATCCATCCATGCATCCATCCATCCATCCATCCATCCATCCATGCATCCATCCATCCATCCATCCATGCATCCATCCATCCATCCATGCATCCATGCATCCATCCATCCATCCATCCATCCATCCATCCATGCATCCATCCATGCATCCATCCATCCATCCATCCATGCATCCATCCATCCATCATCCATCCATCCATCCATCCATCCATCCATCTTTCCATCCATCCATCCATGCATCCATCCATCCATCCATCCATCCATCCATCCATCCATCCATCCATGCATCCATCCATGCATCCATCCATGCATCCATGCATCCATCCATGCATCCATCCATCCATCCATCCATCCATCCATCCATCATCCATCCATCCATCCATCCATCCATCCATCCATCCATGCATCCATCCATGCATCCATCCATCCATGCATCCATCCATCCATCCATCCATCCATGCATCCATCCATGCATCCATCCATCCATCCATCCATCCATCCATCCATCCATCCATGCATCCATCCATGCATCCATCCATCCATCCATCCATCCATCCATCCATCCATCCATCCATGCATCCATACATCCATCCATCCATACATCCATACATCCATCCATCCATACATCCATCCATCCATCCATCCATCCATCCATCCATCCATCCATCCATCCATCTTTCCATCCATACATCCATCCATCCATCCATGCATCCATCCATCCATCCATCCATCATCCATCCATCCATCTTTCCATCCATCCATCCATGCATCCATCCATCCATCCATCCATCCATCCATCCATCCATGCATCCATCCATGCATCCATCCATGCATCCATCCATCCATCCATGCATCCATCCATGCATCCATCCATCCATCCATCCATCCATCCATCCATCCATCCATCCATCCATCCATCCATCCATCCATCCATCCATCCATCCAACCATCCATCCATCCTCTCTCCCTCTGAACTTGACTCTCGTAGACCAGCTGACTGGTCCTCGTGACTCGTGTCTCTGATTCCTGCTCTGAACATGCAGCATCTTCTCACCTATATCCTGACAGTCTCCACACACCTGAACCTCTCTCACTACTTCCTCCCGTCCAGTCCCAGACCAGCTGTGAGATCTAATCTTGAAGTCCTTCCTGGTCAAAGACCCGCCCAGACCTGGTTTGATGGTGAGGCCCCATGTCCCTGTTACAGGTGAGGTACTGGGTCCACCAGTGTCCCTACACCGGAGACACGCTGTCCCAAACAGAATCCCTAACAGGACTGACCTGGAACCAGAGTCTGATTGATGATGTAGGACATTTATGAATGGTTGGTGTTTTTTAGTTCCTGAATAATAGATGCTGCAGAACAGCTTCGTGTCCCCCCCCCCCCCCCCCCCCCATTTCCAACTGAAAGCTCTAAGTCGATTAACCCGATTCCACCTGAGAACACCGGTGTAGCAGAAAGCTGCAGACAGGCGGAGAACCTTTAATAAGGATGTGACTACCTGGGAGCCGAGCAGCTAGGGTTGACCAGGAACCTCTCACACGTTCACACCTTCTTCTCAGTCCTGAAGGTCAGCTTCTGTTTGGGTGAGAGGGCCGAGCCCAGAAGTTTCCCACCAGGTCATAAACACAAAGGAACAAACCTAAGGTTGGTATTCTGAACCGCTCCAGGACAACCTCCTCAGTTTTTATCCTTTATTCCTTCAAGTTTTGCTTTATTGTTTACAGTAAACAAAATAATCACAACACACACAAGAGCAACAACACCTGGCCTCTGAAACGGACCCAGGTCCCCAACATAAACCAGCCGTGTGTCCGTTATGTGTGACAGTAATGAGGATCGGCCATTTTGAGCTGAATATTGTTGTTTATGTGTTGTGTGTTTACTTTAGGAAAACAGGATGACCCGGGATGTTGGCGGTGGGCGGAGCTTGTCTTTTAGTAGACATTGTAGAAGTGTGCTGATGCACCACATTATGAGAGAAAACAGCAAGAGGGTTAGCAGGAATGGGTGCTTGTGTACTCGTGACGTGTTGAGAGTCTGGTAGCGAGTGTACCGTCGGCGTTGTACCGTCTGCTACAGCCGGGTCTGGCTGTCCGCTCGGGTCAGAGCTGAAAACCCGTCCTGTTCACTTTCCTGATGCTTCGTTGGCAGAAATCTGGTTTCTGCTCACAAACAGATTTCAGATGAAACCTGTGAAGCAAAAAGTCTGGATTAATTATGCATGCTGCAAACTCTGCAGAGTGGATAAAACATCGACCCCATTTAGCATAAAACACTGTGTGTGTGTGTTCATGTGTGTGTGTGTGTGTGTGTGTGTGTGTGTTCATGTGTGTGTGTCTGTGTGTATTCATGTGTGTGTGTGTGTGTGTGTGTTCATGACTGTATGTGTGTGTGTTTCATGTGTGTGTGTTTCATGTGTGTGTGTGTGTTCATGGCTGTATATGTGTGTGTGTTTCATGTGTGTGTGTGTGTGTGTGTGTGTGTGTGTTCATGGCTGTATGTGTGTGTGTGTGCACGTTCTTGTGTGTGTGTGTGTGTGTGTGTGTGTGTGTGTTCATGGCTGTATGTGTGTGTGTTTCATGTGTGTGTGTGTGTGTGTGTGTGTTCATGGCTGTATGTGTGTGTGTCTCATGTGTGTGTGTGTGTTCATGGCTGTATGTGTGTGTGTGTGTGTGTGTGTGTTCATGGCTGTATGTGTGTGTGTCTCATGTGTGTGTGTGTGTTCATGGCTGTATGTGTGTGTGTGTGAGGTTCAGACATTATTTATTGTTTTTCACTGAAAGTAATGCTAAATGTCACAGAAACATCAACACGTGACCCTCAGGTCCCTCAAAACAAATTTACCTACCAACTAAATGCTGACTGACAGAAAGCGGACAGGCTGTGGCCACCAGAGGGCGCCATCACCATCTTTATCAGAATCCGAATCAGATCGGAATCAGGTTCGTTTGTCACATGCAGGAGAACCACATTATGTCACTTCTGCGGTACTTAGTGCAAGAAAAAAATAAATGATGAGCAAAATTAGAATTAAGAAATAAACCTAATGAGATGATAATAATCTCTCTCATCTGTTTAGAAACTAATTCAACTTATTTGTTTATGAAGCTTCTGGATTTAATAATCAGCCACGATGAAACTCACACTCATGGTTTATTCATAACCACCAGTACAGATTTGTAACGCTGCAGCTCCTGCTGGTGTCGGCACCGACTGGTAAAGCAGGACTGGCCCACCTGGACTGCCTCAGGAACCACCGGTGCTGGTAGGGCTCGGTTCGGGTCTGTTTACCTTCATGGTGTCCTGCACATTCTGGGAACGACTGAACAGTTCTGGGTTCCTGCGTGCTCAAACAAATTATCCTACGTCACCAGATCACAGCCAATAGGAACAAAGGAGGAGATCCAGAGGTGAGAGGAGGGGAGGATGAGGAGGTGAGAGGAGGAGGAGGAGGTGTTTGGCTCGTGAATGCGCTCGGACCCGTCAGTCTGCTTCTGAGCAGAAACCCGTCCGGATCTCTTTGGCTCATGGAGCAGCAGTCCGTGCGCAGACACCGGAACCACCTGCTGGACTTCAGAACCTAAGCAGCCGAACCCATGAAGGTTCTGAGAAGAGGAGCAGCGCTGCTGCTGCTGGTGCTGCTGGGCCGCTGCTGCTGCACCGACACCGGCCGGAGAGGTGAGGCTTCACCCGGGAGAGCTCCCGGGGATCCGAACCGGGACACGTTCAGGTCTGTCAGAACGGAACCAGTTCTCAAAGTTCGGTTCTGCTGGGATTCTGCTGCTACAAGGTGGATCAAAGTTTCAGTTTCAGAATAGATTTAGTCCAAAAGTTCCGAAAAAGCTTCAGAGGTTTGTGTTGATTATTAATAATATTTAACTACATGTTAAAAGTCTAAAGAATATAAATAATAATTATTATTGATCAAAGCAAAACGTTCACATTCAGAGGAACTGAAGCAGCTTTAAAAGGTTCTGAGTGGAACCAGAACCAGAACCGATCTAAACTGGGACAGTTTAAACTCACTGGTCACCAGTTTACGCTTCATTTCCTCCCAGCTGTTGGTTTAGTGTCCGAGCCACATGTGGAGAAACACAAACATCTGGATTTATTCTGGCTGACCACATCCTCAGGTTTATTGTTGTGATGACATCATAAACAGAACTCTTTAGGTTCTGATCAGAACTAACGAGACCGACCAAATCTAATTAAATATGGAACAGATTTAATCCCAGAACCGTCCAGGTTCTGCTGCTTTAGGAGAACCAGAACCAGATACCAGTGTTCTGGTTCTGGGTTAGGGTGGCGGACCAGTTGGTTTTATGTTATGATGAGTTTGTTCTCATCCAGCGATTAGTCGGGTTCACACATCTGCTGCTTTAACGGGTTTAAACTGGAACTTTAGTGATGAAATCATTTAGATAAATAATAAAAATCACTCATAAACCTTCTGGCTTTAGAGGCTTTTATGTTTTTTTAATCATTTTAGATTACATTGAGTATTTTAACTTAACATTAACCCTGCAGGCTCAAAACACGTTCTGATAAAAGTCCTTCAGGGGTAAATGCTCATGAAACCCGTCGGTGGACTAACCAGGTAGGTAGGTTTTAAGCTGCCGGCCTCCGGAGGGTTAAAGCAGTGTTTTGCGCTCCTTTAGTTAGTGAAAGCCTGATAGTTGGAATGTGTTCTCCGCCTCCGACCCATCCCAGAGAGGAGCAGTGGCTGCAGCGGCGGCTGCGCTCGGGAGCTATCTGGTGGGTTAACCAGCAGGTGGGTCCTACGTCTTTGGTGTGACCTGATCGGGATTTGAACTCTCATCTCCCAGTCCCCAGGCGGACGCTGTACCGCTGGACCACTGGACTAGAGGATTTACTCGTTTAAACTATTTAACAGAAATTAAACAACAACTAAAATCTTTTATTCAGCAACTTTCTGAGTCAAACTGAGACAAACACATAGAAACAGAACGATTAGGGACCGATTCTGGACTGTGGGTCCGGTTCCGGTCCTCCGCACGTCCGACCTGATTAGAAGTTTTATTTTCTTCCTCTTGATGAACCTGAAAATCCAAAGTGAACCTGCAGATGGAAGATCTGTAGATGTTTGTGTGAGCCAGCAGCGGTGAGCTGAAGGACCTGAAGTCTCCGATCTTTGTGCTTCGGAGGGGCTTTCGGGTCTCTGATACCTCTGCTGGTTTCTGCTCGGAGTGCTTCTGAGATGCAGCAAACGTTTAAGGTCTCAGACCTTCGTCAGCGAGCAGTGATGTAGACCTGAAGCGGGTCAGAGGTGGGCGAGTTTATGATCGTTGGTTATTGACTGAGTTTTTCTTCTCGCACCTCAAACATCCACCTCCTTAAACCACAGAATCACTCATTTAATCCCGTTTAATCTCCCAGATCTTTACTCACATCTGGTTTTCTAAATCCGACTGAATTATGAACCCAGAATCAGAACTCAGAGGAGCAGAAAACGAATACATCGGGCCTTTAATTAGGTTTTATTCTGTTTGTGTGGAACAGCAGATCTCCTCCGAGATGTTTCCCGTTCCTTCCAAATCGTTTCATTGGATTGTCTGGGAAAACAAAGCAGCCCTGCAAAGCATTCTGGGAGCCGCGCTGAGTAAATAGTGAGATTTGTGAGACTCCCGACTCGATCAGCTGAGAAGGTTTTGTGTTGAAAAACAAGAGAAAACGCCGAGTCGGCAGTTTCTGAGCCTGAGTGGAAGCAGCTGACGGCTCGCTACCTTTGTCTCCTCAGATATTTGATTAGTGTGTGTGTGTGTGTGTGTGTGAGTGTGTGTGAGCTTTGTCTTCAGGAGCACGTTGAGCTGCTCAGCAGACAGAACCGAGCGTCTGCAGGTCCGTCTGGGCTGATTTCAGGACAAACGTGGAATATTCAACAACACGATGTTTGATTCGATCTTCAGATGTTGGACTCTTCTGGTTCCTAAACAGGTTCCTTAAAAAGGCTTCAGGAGGAAGTTTGTTGTTCAACAAGTTTTAATGAGCAGTTTCTCCAGAAGAGATGTGGAAGGCTGGAGGTCCTTCAGCGGTCTTTTGGGATGATTCAAGTTCTCAATTCAAGTTTATTTATAAATCGCCAAATCACGACAAGAGTTGTGTCAGGGACCTTCACACAGGAACCCAGCAGGTTGCATCGAGTCACTGACTAGTGTCAGAGTCTATACAGCAACCCTCATACTAAGCAAGCATAAAGCGACAGTGGAGAGGAAAACTCCCTTTTAACAGGAAGAATCCTCCAGAGAATCCTGGCTCAGTATAAGCAGCCATCCTCCTCGACTCACTGGGGATGGAGAAGACAGAGCAGACACACACACACACACACACACACACACACACACACACACACACACACACACACACACACGCACGCACGCACGCACGCACGCACGCACGCACGCACGCACGCACGCACGCACGCACGCACACACACACACACACACACACACACACACACACACACACACCAAGTACTGTGTCTATAGTTATATTGTGATGTCTTAGTAAATATTCTATTTGGTGAGAGATAAACTTTATTGTATTTATCCTAGTGGATCTATAATTAAACGGGTAAACTAGTAGTAGCACATCCAACGTCAAAGAGAGTAAAAAGTTATTATCAGGAGAGGGAGAATGTTTTAGTGGTTAGCAGCAGTGTGCTAGTCGATGGCCCCCTCCATGAGGCCACCACAGCTCAGCAGAACATCGTTGTAGCTTCTTCTGGGGAGAAAAACACTTAGAGAGAAAATAAAGTTAACAGCTGAAATAGCAGGAAATAATACAGTTAAAGAGCAGATTGTAGAAGAAAGCAGTAGAGTGTGGAAAGTGGTCAGTGTATCCTCCAGCAGTCTAAGCCTATAGCAGCATAACTACAGAGATAACTCTGGATAATCTATCCTATTTAGATGGAGGCATGTTGGAGTCAGGGCAAGGGAGAGCTGTCTTTACCGACTGTACACTCCACCTCCCTCTACTCCCCCACTTGTCCAGATTTAGGCTAACATCAGATTTTAACCATAGGCCCTATCAAATAAAAATGTTTTAAGCCTATTCTTAAAAGTAGACAAAGTGTCTGCCTCACGGACTAAAGCTGGGAGCTGGTTCCACAGGAGAGGAGCCTGATAACTAAAAGATCTGCCTCCCATCCCAATTTTAGATATTCTGGGAACCACCAGTATGATCTGGAGGACCATCACGGTTCTGTTCTGGAGAAAGTTGTTCCAGGCTCTGAGTGGAGCTACTGCTCCTCAACAGGAGATGGTTCTGATAAGGAGGACCCTGATGAAGACCTAGGACCCTCTGGAGTCCCAGCCAGATTGGGTTCATCCTTATTCTCATCCTGACCTCTGACCTTGAGAAAAGCTTCAGCTTTGTTTTGGTTCGAGACAAATTCAGTTTTAGTTTTCTCAGTTTACGGAAATTTATTTACAACCAGATTAACCAGTGGAGGTCACACACACACACACACACACACACACACACACACACACACACACACACACACACACACACACACACACACACACACACACACACACACACACACACACACACACACACACACAAACACTCGTCTTGTCTCATATTTGTGTGTTTGTGCTGTGGCTGAGGTCAGAGGTCATGGATAACAGGAGTATGTTTACTCTGACGACATACGTGAGTATTTACTCTGATTACTCCTCTGACTGATGCATATGGCTTCAGAAGGAAACGACCGACTGTGTGGGAACGGGTCTGGAGCTCCGTTTCTATAAATCAGTGTGTTGTGTCTGCAGACAGCTGAAAGAGCTGTGTGTGTTTGTGTGTGTGTGTGTGTGTGTGTGTGTGTGTGTGTGTGTGTGTGTGTGTGTGTGTGTGTGTGTGTGTGTGTGTGTGTGTGTGTGTGTGTGTGTGTGTGGGCCTCATTCCCATTGACTTATGGGAAAGACCTTGGCTGTGTGTGTGTGTGTGTGTGTGTTAGAGGTTCTTTAGACCTTTGCATACAGAAGAAGAAAGGTCCTGTGGTAACCATGGCAACGTCGTTAGCATAATGAGCAGAACTAAGAAACAATCAGCCTGATTCAGAAAACTGATCTGAGAGCTGCAGTCCATCCCGCAGTCAGGAGGTCTAATTGGCTGGTTGTTTGGGAGGGGGCGGGGCTTAATGACCTCCTGATAATCCAGTAATCAGGGTTTTTTCTGTGGGTCAGCTGATCAGGCGCTGACACAGCCATTAGGTTGTGTCAGAAAGGTGTGATTTGTGATTTTTTGGGTTAGGGTCTTCATAGGTTTGTTTATTTATCTGTGGTTGTTGTTGTTTAGTAAATATGTGTGTTTATTTGACCCAGTTGGTTTTATTCTCGTCTGGTAACTTTTTTATTACGTTCTTACGTCTGCGTCCGAAGCTGGTGCGAAACGGCAGCCGGGCCTCAGGCGGGTCGTGTTGGGTCGGAGTGTGCCGGCGCTCCTGGTGACGGTCTGCAGCTTCAGGGATTTTCAGAGCTGGAATGTGAAGAATGTCAATAACGGAGCTGGAAAAGCCTCCGCAGGATTAAACAGGCCAACGCTGCAAACCCTCTCACACTCAAACGCCAAACGTTTAATCTGACTGTGTCACACCGCCAGAGGTCAGAGGTCACAGAGCTGCAGACACCTGCAGCTCATTTCTGCATTGATAG